CAATCGCCTTTTTCTTTTGTAAACAGTTGGCATAACTATAAAACAGAAATTGAATTAATAAATTAATACTTAAAAACAATTAAATTAAACACAAACCTCGTCGTAACCCAACACTCCGGGTTCACCCCCTATCCAACCCGCGGGTGACATACCCTTTGCCTCGTCGTGAAGATGATTGTGTTCTGCGTCCATAAGAGTCCAACCCCTGCCATAGAAGGGCACTCCCATTATCATCTTATCCTTAGACAGACCCAGACTTAGGAAGTAATTGACAGTAAAGTCGACTGTGAAGTGCGTGTAATCCATTCCCGGGTGACTTCTCTCTAACTCTTCATTCTCTTCCGGTCTGTGAAATATGGGTGCGTTGTGTCCCAAATAGTTGTCAAACCCACCATGGTAGTCGTACGTCATCACATTTGCCCAATCCAGCAGTTCATTCAGTTTTGGCACAATAAAAGCATGGTCAATTGTTCCCTTTCCGGGAGATAAGGCAGCCGTCAAGAGATATCCCTGCGCTTCAAACGCTACCTTCAATTCCTCTAATAGTTTAATATAATTCTTTTTATCACTACTCGCGCCGCCTCTGGCGGCCGGATGTTCCCAATCCAAGTCCAGGCCATCGAAGTCGTATTTCACCAGGAAATCAACCGCACTCTTCACAAATCTCTGTCTCATTTGAACGTTGGTAACCATATCTGAGTACTTCTCTGACCCCTCATACCAACCGCCCAATGATATCATTGTCGTTAAGTGTGGGTTCTTCTTCCTCAGGTCTGTGAATCTCTTGTACTCCTCTGAAAATACAAATTCATTATTAGTTTAAATTTAAATAATTATATGACATTATATTAACCCAAATGGTCTTCCAGCCAGGGATCAAACATTTGTATTGTGTAGTTGTATTCATCGATTTTAGCGAAACCATAGTTAATATGAGTGCATAAATTGTAATCGATGTCTTCAATTTCAAATGTCTCATTCTTGTGGTAGTGTGCCCAACTGCCAAAGTAACACACAATCGGGTGCGGGTTTTTCTCGTAGTCGTTGCGATCTGTAATAATTAATATATTATTTTCATGCTATAGATAAAATTTAAATGTATGCGTAAACTCATACCTCTTTTGGCGACCGTCGGTTTTGTGTGAATGTCGGACACAAATATCAGCACAAGTGCTGAAAGCAGCAAAACTCCCATTTTTGCCATTTTATGCCAATCTCTTTGACAAATAATAAGTGAAGATTAAAACAGAAAAAATTTATTTAAATACATAATTCGTATCCTTTTTGGGAGGGATTTATATCAAAAGTCCCGAGAAATTAAAGGCGGATTCAAAACAAATATTTCCAATAAAGATTGTCTCATATTTATCAATATTAAACTTGAAATTTTATTTTTAATGTCAATTACTTGATCCGTCATTTCACTTGTTATTGTCTTGAAATTACATAGAATTTTATTCTTATAACAAACAAAATTCATTGATTAGATACTGTGAATATATTATTAAATACTTATTTCTTGAAATTCGTTTAATTTTTAATACAATCTTTATGTTTTGTATAGAATTTTTTATATCATAAACAAATGATCTATCATTATCTACTTCTAACATATTCATTTACTATTACAAAATCATCTTCATTATCGTCGATCTTTAAGTACATTATGCAATAATACAGGTAAATCTGATTTATGAAAATGTATTTTTATTGTAAATTCCTCATTTATTTGTCAATTTGCATTATAATTTTGGTACCAATTAAGTCCGGTATATATGACGCTATATAAGAACAATTATAATTTGCTGTAAGAATTTTTGAAAATATATACCTAACTTATTTTCAATATAAAACACTATTTTAAAAATAATAATACATTTTTGTCATTATTGATCAGACTTTTTTCTTGTCAATTATGTTTACCATGCTAACTCTTATAATATTTAAGCAAATCTTAATAGTTTGTGCATTTATGACTTGACTGGCTTAAACATGTGGAGATTTGATTGGCCCTAAAGGCCACTTAATTAAATATCATGTTATATTATACAAACATTCAATATTAACCGTAAGATTATATTTATTTTTACCTTTAATTTAAACAGTTATATTAATAAATATAATAAAATATTGTAAAATTGTGTCAGAAATATAATACATTCTTAAATTTTTTTAAATATTGTATATTTTATGAACAAAACTATTGTCACATTTAACGAGGTTTAGAACATCTAAAATCAGATTAATGTAATAATTCTCTATTATTCAATGTTATTGCTTAATGTGTATTTGTTATGTACTTAACAATGTATTTGGTATAACGTCAATATGAATTAATACCATTATCAATTATTGACATTGGAATTTATTTACTTACAAATTATAATTTATAATATTGATCTTGGGCAATTATTTCTAACTAACTGATATATTTAAAAGTTTATGATACGCGTATTTTTATTACTTAATATTTTATCCAATTAATAAAAGATTTTGTTGATTGTGTTTATTTAAAAACTAATTGTTTAAGTTTTAATTATTTTAATTATTAAAAGCTGTTTTATTTTGTGAATATATTAAAATATTTATTATAAATTACCACAACATGACTATTTTTATTACATTATTTAATTATAAAGATTATACATTTTTAATAATTATTATGTTTAATATTGTTTGAACTACTTATAAACAAAAGTGGCACAATGTATCCGGGTATATTTTTGATGTGATGTATAGATATTATTCTAGATATGTACAAGTGGATAATTAGATATATTATCATGGTAATAATGCCCTTCAATATTATGTGTTACATTATATGATATCAAAACTTACACAATAATAAAATTACTTTTAAAAATTAAGAAACAACTAATAACTCAACGCATGCATTAATATTCATTTCAGATATAATTTATTTATTATTTGTTATTGTTTAAAATATGTTTTATTTTAATTATTATTGTCAAATAATTTAATTATTAACAGATCTAAAATTTTTATAACTAGCAATTTTGTTTATTGAAATAAAAACATATTATATTAATGATAAAACAACTTATTTTAATTCTTTATGATAAAATTTATTATTGGTAGACTTAATATATGTTGGCCCTTCAATATTTCTAATCTAGTTAGTATTGTGAAACTAATTTTATTATTTAAGTTTACATTCTTAGGCCCAAAAACCAAGTTTCATAAGATCGGAGGATTGGTCTATATTATAAATTTTTAAAATGTGTCCGAATTGTTTTAATAAATTTAGTCCAAAATATTTCACCAAAAATTAACACATTTTTAACCACATTTCAGCATTGATTGTGGTTTATAAGATCGTTTGGAAAGTTCATAAAATAAAATATTCATTTTGGTTAAAAACTTTGGCTAACTTGGTTAAAGGCATTTATGAAAATTTTTATACGTATATATAAAAGTTTATTAGAAATGTTTGTATAAAATTATATTTAAGGTAAGGTAGAAAAGATGCAGTACTTAATACGTTATAATTTTAAGATAATTCAAGGTAAAGAAAGTCTATTTGTAATCATTAATGTATGGAAATTCATATAGCTTGATAAGATTTAGTAATAATTATACAATTGTTAACAATTGACACATAATTGTTGTAAAGGAGATCCGGATTAAAGAGTTTCTTAATTCAAAACATTATATTTCCACGAATTGCCAAAACATAAGAGCATATTATCAATACTTTAATTAATATTTTATGCAATATATTGATTAAATTGTTTACACTTCACTCTATTGTTAAATCTAATCATTTGTGTGATTAAAAAGTCAAAGATGTAATTGAATTAATCCGTTAGTATTAAAGTCTCAATACCTATAGTTTGGATAACATAATGCTTTTTAAACAATTGAGAGTTACGTCAATTGGTTTGCAGAATATATGCTTTACTTTGTTTTATATCGCAATAATTGTATAATTGTACGTTGTGCAATTATTATAACATGTTTTTAAAAATTACATTGACTAATTTCCAGCACTTTAAAATTGTGGATATAACTTAATTTGCTACATCTTAATAATAATCTAAAATTTTAGTAGAATTTGTTGCATATCCATAACAATTATTATTTCTAATAGAAATATGGTAAACTATGTTTAATTAAATAATTGGTTCATTGGAAACTATAACATAGATTAAATTTTTATAACAAAGAACATATTTGTTTGCATCTGAATAGTTGTACCTGTAATACAATAGAACTTTAATATAAAAATATTATTACATAATAGAACTATCTATTTAGTATATAGAACTTTATTAAACATACAAATACTGTATATTTGCCTTGTTTAAAATAATTGTCAGGTGCTCTCATCCTCTCATAAGTTCCACTCATTAAACATTACATTTACTTTTAAACTGTAATTTATATGAATTGATTCAATGATAACACTATCGGAAAAGTGTATTGACTTAATGCACATTGAGTTATCAAAAAACTAAATGTTTATAAATATTTAAATTGTTTGCTTTAAAATGAGCTAATTGGTAATTTCTATTTTACATTAATACAAAACTACCTTAAACTTTAGTATAAAATATATCAAACATTTCAGATAACGATTATATTATTCAATACTAAATCAATGTTAAAATGAGATCAAAATTAATCTACATTTATTAATTGATAATAAGCCAAATAAACAGTTTGTGGGTATATATCGTTATAGCCTTTGAAATCACTTCAAACTGACTCCGATTAAACTTTTTCTCCACTTTATATACCCTTATCTGCAAAACAAATTGTGTTATGAAATAGATTTTTCCAATTGATTGACTCAACGAGTGGTCTATTATTGTTTTTGTTGAATTTGTGGTCAATTATGAAACTAATTTTGTTAATATGCCTATGGATTGCTGGCTATGGCTATGGCTATGGAATGCAAGTAATTAATTGTTTTGATTAACATAATATAGTTATATCAATATTAAAACTATACCATCAATAATAAAATTATTTGTAAAAATATATATAAAAACATATAAATATTTACATTAATTTCAAAACACCATGATTTTATTTACAGCAATTCACAGCATAATCCAAAAAATCACACTTAATTTCTAGATAGATTTTTAAAACTTTATATTTTCAAAAACTAATCTCACGCTTATATATAACAACATTGATCACAGATCGGAGCGGAGGGCACGCTATGGCCGTATCCACAAGAGGTCAAAACCAGCGAATCCTTCTTCACAATTACCAAACAATTTAATTTCACTCTCAAAACGGCCGGAAAGTGCGATCTGTTGGACAAAGCGATCGCCAGATATCGGAAACTGTTTTTCCTCGAAGACTGCTCTTTGGTCAGCAAAACGGCGACCGAAACGCTATTTGACGGACAAATAAATGTGCGCCAAAATGGTCTATATTTGGGTGAAATCGCGAACATAACGCTATCGGTTCACGAAAAGTGCGAAACAGTGCCGCACATGAATATGAATGAAATGTATTCAATCAATATTAACCAACAGATCCAAGATATATACGCCGAGACGGTGTGGGGCGCCATCCGAGCGCTCGACACACTCTCGCAACTGATCCGAAATGTGGGCCAAAATCAGTTCACGATCAACGAGACAGCGATACTAGACTTCCCCCGATTCGCGCACAGAGGGCTTATGCTCGACACCAGCAGACACTACGTGCCCATCAAAGAGTTGCTCCAGAATCTGGACGCCATGGCCTACAATAAGTTGAATGTCTTTCACTGGCATATCGTCGACGACCAGTCCTTTCCTTACGTGAGCTCAATATACCCGGAGCTCAGCGTTAAGGGAGCCTTCAATGCGAAGACACACATCTTTACGGAGCAACAGATCCAAGAGGTGATTGCTTACGGCGCCGAACGCGGTATAAGGGTTTTGGTGGAATTTGACTCACCCGGACATACGCTGTCGTGGGGTATGGGATACCCGGACCTCTTGACTCCCTGTTACTCGAGTGGCAAACCCGACGGCACGTACGGACCGATCGATCCGTCGAAGAACTCGTCGTATAAATTCATCGAAACCCTATTCAAAGAAGTCGGTCATAGATTTCCCGATCAATACATGCATTTAGGCGGCGATGAGGTGGCGCTCGACTGTTGGGAACACAACCCAAACATCCAGTCCTTTATGAAGATTAAGAATTTTACAACAATTTCACAACTGTTCCAGTATTACATCGAAAACCTCTTAAACATCGTCAGGGGTTTAGACAAGAGTTATATCGTGTGGCAGGAAGTGCTGGACGAAGGGGTTGTGCCCAAGTCTGACACTATTGTGCACATCTGGAAG